GCGTGGGGGGAGCTCAGCCCAGAAGCTTTTCTCCACCAATGTGACATTCTGGTAGAGCCACTGTCGCCGCGCACACCGCCGGGTGCCAGCCCTTCTGCAGCTCTGTCTCTTGGGCACCCTGCACCGTTTCCTACCCCTGGAATCAGACCCCCCCCTCCCATCCTCCAGACTCCCCCTCCCAGAAACCTTCCCCGGTCCCCTGGCGGAGGGGGAGGCAAGGGGGCCTCCCCAAGGTGAGGCTTGCTCGCTCTCTACAGGAAACTCCAACTTGGTCTACGCCATCATCCGAAAGCGCAGCGTCTTCCACCAGCTGGCCAACCTGCCCAGCGACCCCCCTGCCATCCACAAGGCCTTGCAACGGCGCCGACGGACACCTGAGCCCTTGTCCCGAACTGGCTCGCAAGAGGGAGCCTCCATGGAGGGCTCGCGCCCCGCTGCCCCCGCTGAGCCCGGCACCCTCAAGACCAGCCTGGCGGCAACTCCAGGTTTGGGCCTGGCGGGTGGTGGGGGTGGGGTGGGTACCTGCATGGTTGGGGGACAGGCAGGGTCTCTGGGATGTCATCCAGCCTCTGACAAAGGGCATGGCTGTGATGGGAAGCCGAGGGGAGGGGATGGGAGTGGCTGCAGGGGTGGGGGTGAGGGTATTGGGAGGTCAGGAGGACTAGCTAGGTTGGGGGGGTGGGACTGCGCCTCAGAAGTGGGTGTGGGGGAATCAGGGATGGCATTGCTAAAGTGGGTGGGGGAAAGGGGGGGCCTCATGGGGCCCAGTGCAGAAGCTTCCTAGGAGGGGCCCCAGGCAGGTGTCATCACACCCACCCACCCCCGGCCCCAGGCATCGACAAGCTGACGGAGAAGTCCCAGGTGTCAGAGGATGGCACCTTGCGATCCTTGGAGCCCACGCCCCAGGAGAGCTCGGCAGATGGCAGCCCCATTGTAGAAGTAGGTGACGGGGACTCCCACGGTGGGGTGAGCTTGGGACTTCCCTTTTTCCCTGGCCTCTGCGGTGTGGGCTGGGCCAGGGTGCTCTGGGATTATCAGCAGCAGAGGGCAGAAACGCAGTACCCAGGGCATGGGGGGTGGGGGGTGCTTTCACAGACCTCTCCCTTGTTTACTGGTCCAAAGCTTAAGCTCTTGGCCTTCAGACTCCTCATCCATCAGCCTTATCTGAGCCGAGCTGGCCTTTACCCGACCAGCCCTGTTAGCCCCTAGCCCGAAACCTGTCATCAGGTTGGGTTGGGTCAGGCAGTGCCTGAAGCCCAGGGCAAAGGGTGCTAGGCTGGGCTGTCCCCACTCTTGGGAGTGAGCCTCCCACCAAGGAGGCCAGTGGAGAGGCATCATTGCCTCCTAGATTCCAGGCTGTGGGAGGAACTGGGAAGAAGGGCTGCCCCTCTGTCCTCTGCCCCATGCCTGCTCCCTGTACCCCTCACTCCTGTCGTTTCCCTGGGTCAGGAGCCCGGCCAGGCATGGCGGGAGCAGCGGCGACTGTCCAGCGCATCAGCCAGCGGGCAGTGGAGCCCAACATCGGAGTGGGTGAGGGTTTGGGCAGGTGGCTCTGAGCTGGGGGCGGGGCAGGGGCTCCTGGCCCTAGGAACAGCTCAGTGGAGGCTCGGATGGGAATGCATCCAAATCCAAGAACTAGCCTGGGAGCCGGGCTCCGGAGCACTCCTTCCGGCTGGGTGACCTTGGACTCTCTGGCTGGGTTGCTTCCTCTGCATACACTGCCCCAGAGTACGATGCAGGGTTGAGCTTCAGTTGCCCATGGCGCTCACTTCTTACAAGCTCTCCTTTCCAGCTTCCTTACTCAGTTCACTTGTCCACTCCCATGTGTGTGTCCTCTGATCACTGGTAATTACACTTATCGGGGATAAACGTCCTACTCGATCATGCCATTCTGAGGCTCCAAGGGGACGGTTTTTGGCATGTAGCGTACTCTCGATGAGAGGCCGTGGCTCTCCCCATGAATACCAGTCAGTGTGCATGGGCACTGCCCCGTGCCAGGCCCTGGGTGTGGTGAGCGGGGCCCTTTCTGCCTCCAGGAGCCCGTGGTTCTGGGTCAGGGGTGAGGCCTCTCCCCTCGCCTGTGGGGGCTGCTCTCCCAGCCCCAGGAACCCCCGTCCCCCCCGCCAGGTTCTCTCGTGGAAGTCCAAACTGCCCCTTCAGACGATCATGAGGCTGCTGCAGGTGCTGGTCCCCCAGGTGGAGAAGATCTGCATTGACAAGTGAGGCCTGGGCAGGGGCGGGGGGAGAAGGGGCGGCAGGTGGGCTCTGGGGAGGGCCAAGCCCAGGCGGGGGCCCCGGCTGGGAGTGGGAGCACTTTCAGAGAGGGTCGTCCCACGTGGGCATGTTGGAAACCGTCCCCTCGTCCTAGCAGGGGCCTGACGGATGAGTCGGAGATCCTGAGGTTTCTGCAGCATGGCACCCTGGTGGGGCTGCTGCCTGTGCCCCACCCCATCCTCATCCGCAAGTACCAGGCCAACTCGGGCACGGCCATGTGGTTCCGCACCTACATGTGGGGCGTCATCTACCTGAGGTGGGTCCGCCGGTGGGGGGCGGGGGTGGGGCTCAGCGCTGGCCTCGGCTCTGGGTCCCACCACGGCAGCAGGCTTAAGGTCAAGACAGTCAACCGGGGTGGGGGTGGGGGTCTTGTCAAGTTGAGGGTGGGCTCCCCCTGCCTGGGGTGGGAAGGGGTTGGGGCCGTACCACCTCCTAGCTGCTCCCCAGTCTCGGCTGCAAGGCCTCCCAGCACCCCTGCGACAGCCTGCTCCCTCCGCAGGAATGTGGACCCGCCTGTCTGGTACGACACGGATGTGAAGCTGTTTGACATCCAGCGGGTGTGAGGATGGAAGCCTCCCAGGGGCTGGGATCAGGGGAGGGTGGGGGCCCTGGTCCCCTGAGGCTCCCCTGACTCCCCGTTCTGGGCTTTAAATCACCACAATCAGAGCTGGGGCTGGCAGAGTGGCTGAGTCCTGGGGGCCCCGTGTGGCTGGGATGGTGGGGACAGGCTGTGATCAAAGCCCCTTCCCTGCCTCCCCCCCCACCCCCCCACCCCCCAGGGCCGTGGACTCCCAGGATCCTCCTGTGTCCAGGGCTTCAGGCCCTGGCCAGAGCCCTCACCTCACTCTGGCTCTCCCTCAAGATCCCTTTTCTGTGCTGCCCACCCCCAGAGGCCACCAGGTCCCTGTGTCCTAATGGGCTGCCCTGCAGAGAGCTGGGAGCTGTCCCTTAAGGCACCTGGCAGAAGCAGGGGAGCCTTTCCCAAGCCTCCTAACCTGGAGCCACCTGGCCCAGGCCTGGCTTGCTGCTGGGGCCCAGAGGAGGAAGGAGAGTGTCCGGGTCGCTGAGGAGACCAGGGGCTGCCAGACTGCAGAAGCCAGACTAGGGGACCTCATGCATTTTAGGGGTTTGGAGTGGCGTGTTGAGGCTCAGTGGGTGTAGCCTGACTCTGTTATCCAGGATGGGCAGAGAAGTGTGGGGAGGGAGCCATTCGATCCTCCCTGCCCCCACTCACTGCTTGGATGACTGGGGGGTGGAGGGGGCAGGATGCCACCCCTCCACCCTCCAGCTCTGGCCTCCGGGTCTCCCGCACCCTACTTGTGTCAGTACAATCTTTGCTCTGTACAATCGGCCTCTTTACACAATAAACTGCCCTCTCCACGTCCTGGCTCTTTGTGCTTGGAGGGGAGGGGAAGGGAGGGGCTGGGGCTGTGGCTCTTGTCTTCAGGGGAGCCGGGAACTCGGTCTCCCAGAGTCAATCCCCAGAGGGCCCTCAGCATACGCCTGGGAACCAGCATTTATCATTTTCTTGGGTGGGGAAATGGAGGATTGCACCCTCTCACCCAGGGTGCAGCCCCCAGAGAAACAGCCCAGGCAGGAGAGAATAGAAGCTTGCCTCCCAGCCTTCTGCACGGTCCCTGGGGGCCGTGCTGGTCCCAGGAAGCCACCAAAACAGCACTGGGGGCCCCTGGCGCTGCGTCCCTGGGCTTTCCGGTGCCCAGCATCATGGGGAGGGGCCCAGAGGGTGCAAGGCCTGGGCCGCCCTCCCTGAGTCTCACCCTGGGCTTCACCTGGGGCCCATCCCACTGTTTGCACTGGGCTCAGGGAGCTGGATGGGGTGTCAGTGCCTGCCCCGTCCACCCAATGGCTCAGAGGATCCAGCAGGCCAGAAGCTGCAGTCCCTTTGCTAAGCCAGCTGCAGAAAGTCACCTGCGGCTCTGTTCCAGAGAGGAGTGTGCTGGCGGGGTGGGGTGGGGGGCATGTGAGAGCCCTAGCCCCTTGCCTCACCTCCTCCCATGAATCAGGCAAGGGGGAAAGACTGGTGTAGACACCTCCTGGCCCAGAAATAGACTGGCCCAGCTCTATAGCCCTGACCAGGAAGACTGTCCCTTCCTACCATACTCGGAGTGACAGCTCTGTCCCTGGGAACAAATGTCACAAAGCTTGAATGTGATCGATCAAACAAACAGGGTTTATGGCAGCAGGAGAGAGCTGTTGAACTCTGCCTGGTAGCTAATTAATGAGCTCATTAGGAGACAGGGTATGTGGGAAGGGAGGGCCAGGCCCGCTTGCTGGGCTGCAAGCTTCTAGAATGTCCTGGGCTGAGCTTGAACCAAGTGCCCTTCCCATAGAAGGAGGGAGACCCCTGAGGCTGACCTGGGTGGCTGGGCCCCTTCCAGACTCTGTCATTTAGGGCTGTCAGTCCCGGAGAGCTGTGGGGGGCTTCCTGGGATGTCCTCTGGGCTGTACTGATTGTGCTGGTGAACAGGGGCAGACACGTGTCCAGTCCTGGGTGTGGGCATCATAAGCTCAGTCCAGCCCTGCCCTTGGTCTTGGGCTGCAGACAGTGTCTCCCACCTCGGTGAGGGTCTCAGGGAGGGGGAGGCTTTGGGGAACCCAATCTGGACTAAGCCCCCCTGGAATGGGGCATTTGCTCAGAGGCTCTGGCTACCCTCTCCCCAGCCTTGGCACTTTGTGTTCTGCCGGGGGTGGGTCCTGGGGCAGCCTCAGGCCTCCAAGTAGACCTCCACCAGCCCCCCAACAGAATGCATACGGTAGAAGACCCCCAGAGGCAGACCAAAGTTGACGATGGTGAACCACGTCCGGTAGCCATAGAAGTCCTTTTCCAGCCCGTTCTCAAACTCCGGGTGTATGCCAAATGCGGGCATCATCCACAGCTGGGGAGGAGAAGAGGTGGTGAGGGAGAGGGCTCTCTGCGTCCAAGCGTACTCCATTCAGGGGAGGCAGGACCCCAAAGCTGCTAGCACCCCTACCCCCCTTCAGGCCTTCAGCCTTGGGCTTTCAAAGCCAGCCGTTCCCCCTACCCAGCACTACAGCCACCTCTCTGGCTTGCCAGCCTGCCTTCCAGGCGGACATGAGGCCTCACTCTGCCACCAGCCCTGGTCTGACCTGCTCTGGGCTCCCCCATGTCCTGACCTCAACCACCTTCTTCGACTCTGACTCCATTTTTCTGCCAGTCTTGACTCTCTGCTCCCTCCACCTGGCCCTGCCTTCTGTCCAAATTCTGCCCCTTTCTCAAGTCCCAGATTAAATCTTCACGAGGCCTTCCTTGGGCCGTCCGGCCCACATTTCCTTCTCCTGGCTCCTACTGTGCGTTAGGGCCAGGTGACGATGTGTGGTGACGTGTGTCAGGGGCTTCACCACCTGAGGTGTTTCCAGCGCAGAGCACCTAAAATGTGGTCATCATGCGCTCCCACAACTCTGGGTGTCCCGGCACTGCCACTGATGGGCTGTGGGACAACCTAAGCCTCAGTTTCCCCATCTGTCAAATGGGGACAGTGATGGCGCAGAATGGTGGCTGTTGCAGGGTTTCCTGTGATGATTCAGTGAGGTGCGGAGCTACGGTACAGGGAGGTGTACCCAGCACCCATTGTCAACATCTTCCACTAGAGAGCTTTTTGGAAACCAGGCACGTGATGATCTCTTCCGTTGACCGAATTCGGTGGATGATCAGTTATTCGGTAATTCCCTAACTGGTCCCCTGGTGTCCCTCCCACTAGACAGTAAACTTCCTGAGGGTGGACATCTTACATGTTTGTAAAGAGCACTTAGCTACATGCTTGGCATGTTCATTCATGCAGACACCTTGCAGCGAGCTGGGGACACTGCTCTCAAACAGCATGGAGCTGGATGAAAAGACGCATGTGTTCCTGACAATAAGAGGCCAATTGCCCTTGGGACAGTCAAGGTGCAATGAATGCACCTTGATCCATTCCTTCCTCCCTGAGGGTCTTTGAGGCTACCTGGCTAGCTCCACCCCCGCGCTCCCCGGACCATCCACTCACTGTGAGATTGCAGAGGATGAGGAAGAGTGAGATTTCCTTGAGCGCCCGCCGCTTCCAGTTGAGGTGGCTGTAGGAGTGGATGTAGGCCAGCGAGGCCCGCCGCAGGTCCTGGCCCAGCTCCAGCAGGGAGCCCCGGCGGGACGGCTCGGCCTCCGGCTTCCCGGCTGGGCCCCTGGAAGCCGTCTCCCAGAGCGGACGCCGGTGCAGCCCCTCGATGATGAAGAGGTTCTGGGTGATGTGCTGCAGGATAAGCAGCAGCGAGTAGGCCAGGATGAGGCGGTTGAGCAGCTCATGCGGTTGGGTGGCCACGATGGCCACGATGGAAAAGTAGGCGATGCCCATCTGGCCCAGCGCTGCGCCCATGAGCAGCACCACATCCAGGCTGCGGGTGGGGTTCTTGAGCGTGTCCAGCTCCCGCTCCTCCAGCCCGTGGATGGCTGTGCCCGCCAGGCATGCCAGGCTCATGGCGGGCAACACGGCTACATAGAAGGCATAGTAGAGGATGAAGTACTTGCGTGCGATATCAGGGCCACTTGCTTTGATCTGGAAGAGCACGAAGACGCACATGCCTGCCACCAGGGCCAGCAGACCAAGCAATGGCCCAAAGATGACCCCGTGCAGGTGGAAGGGAGGCGTGCCGGGGTGGGCGCCTCCGTGGGGGGCCAGGCGGCGGCCCACATTCTTCCACATGACAAAGAGCATGGCACAGCAGATGAGGCAGTACTCGGTGCTGAAGGGGTAGAGCATCAGGTAGCCCTTCTGGAAGACCTCGCACACGGTGGCGTTGAGGCACAGGCAGGTGCTGGTGCCATTGCCTGGGGAGAGGCAGTGCGGGGAGGGATAGTTGTTCAGGTGGACCTTGCTCTGAGGAAACCAGCTGCCCCAATCAGTCCCATGCTCCTGGAGTATGCCACCCATTTTACAGACATGGAAACTGAGGCCCAGAGATAGACATCAGAAATCACGGGACGGTCATTTCTTCACAAAGGGATTTCAGGCTTCAGGAGCCAAGCTTTTGTAAAGCATTTAACACATCATGTCTTTGGGGCCAGATGTCACCTCTACAAATGACTTGTTGAACACGAGGGGAAAATCTATAACTTTATTTTTTTATTTAAAAAAATTTTTTTAAATGTTTTTATTTATTTCTGAGAGAGAGAGACAGCATGAGGAGGGGAGGGTCAGAGAGAGAGGGAGACACAGAATCTGAAGCAGGCTCCAGGCTCTGAGCTAGCTGTCAGCACAGAGCCTGATGCAGGGGTTGAACCCACGAGCCATGAGATCATGACCTGAGCCGAAGTCGGACGCTCAACTGACTGAGCCACCCAGGCGCCCCTTTATAACTTTATAACAGGAGGATCTGGCTGCTGCACCTGAACCCTCGGGAGCACAGTCTGTGGGGTAATCAGACATCTTGCCTCGAGATGAGGTCCCTTACAAAGCTCACGGCATCATCTGTGGAATGCCAGTGTCCAAAGTGTTTCACCTGAATCTGATCGAGACTTTGGTCCATACTTCCAGGTTGCAGGCAGAGCAGGGAAGAGGAGAACAAGTCAGATGCCACCAGTAGGAAGCAGCCTGACAAACCTCAATGCCATCAGGAAAACAGAGACTTAAGAGACGGAACAACCAAGCACAGCATGTTTGAACACACCATCGTAGAAGACGTTTCATAGGCTGGTTGGGGAAAGCTGAATAGATCGATGGAGAGGATGGGGATGATGTTGAAGAATTCTGTTAGAAATTATAACATTGTAGGGGCGCCTGGGTGGCTCAGTCAGTTAGGCGTCTGACTTTGGCTCAGGTCATATCTCATGGCTCGTGGGTTCGAGCCCTGCATCGGGCTCTGTGCTGACAGCTCAGAACCTGGAGCTTTCTTCAGATTCTGTGTCTTCCTCTCTCCCTGCCCCTCCCCTGATTGCTCTCTCTCTCTCTCAAAAAATAAATTAACATTAAAAAAAGAAATTATAATAACATTGTAGTAGTGGAGAGAAATGAACTTATTTTAAAGAGATGTGCATGAAACTGTTTTGAGATGAAATGCCATGATCTCCATAATGTAATTCGGCAAAACATTGAAATAAATAGCAAAATGTTAATAATTATTACATCTAGGTGATGGGTATATCCTGTTGTTGTGTTTTTTACTCATCTGTATGTTTGAATTTTTTAATAATAAAAGAATCTGTGATGTTACTTCTCAAAAATTCCCAGTGCAGCTCTTCTGAAAAACATATCTGAGCATAAAGAATGTCCGCAGTGCACAGGTGGGCTGTGAGTTTTGCAGCCGGTGTGCAAACCTGTGAATGTGCTGGGAAGACTTGGCTGTACACAGACCAGGATGGTGATGCCATCAGGGGAGGGTGCTTTATACACACAGGGGTGGCTGAAACCCCCATGTAGGTTTATGGGACGTAGCCTCTAAGGGCAGACTGTACAGGTAGGGGGTTGGGTCATGGAACAGTCTGACGGAGGAGTTCCTTCTGCCCAGAAATCTTCTGTCCCTCCTGATAAGCCCCGGGATTTGCAACTATGTTAGGAAGACATTCCTTTCTGTCCTGAAGCCTTTTTAGTTTCTTGCAAGTAAAATGCAAATACTAAGGGTGGGGCGCATGCCTGGGCTTAGCCAGGCATTCGAGGGTGGCTAAGGTGACAGCTAGGTGGATGCCCGGAGGAGGGCTGCACGGTGCCAGCACCGATGGGACAGGGTGACGACCAGCGTGTAGTCATGATCCAGAGTTTGCTCCCACTCTGGGAGGGAGCACGCGTGCTTGCGCACGTGTGCGTGTGTGCGTGTGTGCGTGTGTGTGTGTGTGTGTGTGTACATTCGGGGCTGGGGGATCATGTCTCCCTCTGTACCTGAGAAGTTTTCCACCAGGGCGCTGAGCTCAGCGTTGATCTCGCGGTGCATGGAGTCGTTGGTGACGGCCAGAACCCACAGCAGCAGGTTTGTGGCCAAAGCCAGCATTAGGCCACACCTGGGGGAGGTGCCACACTCTGCCCACACAGCCCGGCTGGCTCCCCAGGTGCTCCGCCCTCACCATCACTGCCTTTGGGGCGACCCCTCTCTCCCAAAGCCGGATCCCATCTGGCATTAGGACTTTAGGAGATGCAGCCCGGGGAGCCACCTGGGAACCCTTCCCAGACTAACCTGCCACCCCAGGGACACCCTGTCCAAGGAAGCTGTGGGGACAGGGGACAGGGAGCCCCAGGAGTTGCAGGGAGAGAAGGTGCCCCGTCTTACCTAGTGAAATTGGTCTGGACCTGAACACAGTCCTTACAGTGTTTCCAGAGCACCCAGGTCTGAAAGAGATGAGGCCTTGAGCCCAAGGACTGGAGGGGGTGGGGGTGGGGGGGCACTGGTGGTGGGACCGTGGGGCATATGCCCCAGTTGCTTGCATGTATGTACGATGGAAGTGACAGCGAGGACATCTGGATGGGGATCCTGGCTCTGCCGTTCCCATGCCTCAGTTGCCTCGGCTCTAAAATGGGCCTAATATGCCTTCCTCTCAGGGGAATGCCTACTTCTCAGGGAAATGGGCGGGATGATGCAAAGAAACAGCCAGTGCAATGCCCGGCACAGTACAGGGGCTCAGGAGTGCGAGGGGTATTGGTTACTAACAGTAGCTCTGTATTTCTGGGGGGATGTAGATTTAGGGATATGCAAATATGCACAGGCAGATGTATTTATTATAGGCGTCTGCATTTCGGTGACATGTTGGGCGTGCTGATGCAGGTACATGGAGGCGTGCGTGCGTGGACGTGGGCAGGAGGCAGGCACTACTGGGGGCTGTGGCACGTGGGTATGTACCCTGGGCCCTGTAGACTGTTTCTAGGCATTGTCAGGGTGTGTGTGCATGCGGCATGGGGATGGGAGAGGCCTGTCACCTGGGCGCCAATGAAGACGATCTCGATGACAGGGAAGATGAGTTCCATCTGCGACTTGCAGTGGTTGTGGCTCACGTCGTAGCCCACGCGGAAGACGTTCAGGCAGATGGCGCAGCTGCCAAAGAGAAGCAGGGAGCCTGGCCGGGCCAGGTGGCCGTTGGCACCTCCCCCAGATCCGGCTCTGTCCCCCCAGTCCCCTCCGCCCACCCAGGGCCCCCGCACTCACCCCGCATCCAGATGGATCCTGCATGAGAATCCCGGAAGAGCATGGCATGCGGGTGGCGGATGGTGCGGGCGACATAATAGAGGAACCAGAGAAGGGATAGGGCCTTCAGTGCGGCCAGCAGGATCCACACGTCGGCCAGTGTGACAGCCACGTTGTTGAAAATCATGCTGCAGATGAAGGCGCCACCCAGGAACACCACGTTGAGGGCCAGGAGCCCCGAGAAGAGCTGACCTGCCTTCTGGGCCTGTCTGTCTCTCCGCAGCAGCAGTGAGAAATGCCGCACCAGCCAGGATTTCCGGTAGGATGAGGCAGGAGCTCCCGTTTTCTCGGCTCCCGCATCCATTGGGTTCTCCTCGGCCGGGGCTGCTCTAGCCTCCTGTGCTTCTGGAGAGGCCGTGGATGGAAGCTGAGAAGGGGCTGGGGAAAAAGAGTCTTGGTTATCTGCCAGAGTTCTGGGTTTCAATTCCACCCTTGCCCTTAACTGCTGTGTGACGTAGGGCAAGCTATGCAACCTCCCTAATCAGACATTGGAAATAGTAGCAGCAGTTGCCTTATCTACTTTACAGAACCTGAGGAGGTTCACACAGACCAGGGGTGGAGGCTCAGTCAGTCAAGTATCTCTGGCTCTTGATTTTGGTTCAGGTCATGATCCCAGGGCTGTGGGATTGAGCCCTGCGTCGGGCTCTGTGCTGAGTGTGAAGTCTGCTTGGGATTCTCTACCCCCCGTCCCTCTCCCCCACTCTCTCTTTCTCTCTCTAAAATAAAAACAAAAAACAAAAAACAGATATGGGATATGGGAGTCCTTTGTGCTCCAAATAAAGATAGGGATTATTTCAACTGGCTTGAGGAATACGTCCCTCCCAACGCCCGGCAGATTTATCCCACTTCGGCCTGATCTGAACATGGAAAATAACTCTGCATAATGTCTGACCGCTGGACATTTTCCAGGGATGTGACTTGTCACCACTAAAAAGCAACTTGTGTTCTCCTTACTTCTGGGAGGAATTTCCCTCCCGAAGGCAGGGAGAGCAAATAGGTGTCCTCTCGTGTTCTGACTTTGATTAGTTGGGTGATGTTTGCCTAGAATGTTATGTTGAGAAGGATCCTGAGGCTGAGTGTGAGCTTGGTGGGAAAGAATGCTGTGATTTGAAATGATACTTGATTATGGATGTATATGTGTATATATAAAATTACTTTTTTTTTTTTTTAATATTTTTATTTATTTCTAGGAGAGAGAGAGAGACAGCATGAGCAGGGGGAGGGTCAGAGAGAGAGGGAGTCACAGACTGAAACAGGCTCCAGGCTCTGAGCTGGCAGTCAGCACAGAGCCCAACGCGGGGCTTGAACCCACGAACCGTGAGATCATGACCTAAGCGAAAGTCGGACGCTTAACCGACTAAGCCACCCAGGCGCCCCTATATAAAATTACTTTTATGTATGTATGTATGTATTTTAATATAATTTGTTGTCAAATTGGTCTCCATACAACACCCAGTGCTCATCCGAACAAGTTAAAATTACTTTTAAAAGTCTAGAGGAGGGGCGCCTGGGTGGCTTAGTCGGTTAAGCGTCCGGCTTTCGCTTGGGTCATGATCTCGCGGTTCATGGGTTCGAGCCCCGCGTCGGGCTCTGTGCTGACTGCCAGCTCAGAGCCTGGAGCCTGTTTCAGTCTGTGACTCCCTCTCTCTCTGACCCTCCCCTGCTCATGCTGTCTCTCTCTCTCTCTCCTAGAAATAAATAAAATATTAAAAAAAAAAAAAGTCTAGAGGAGGGGCGCCGGGGTGGCTCAGTTGGTTAAGCATCTGACTCTTGATTTCGGCTCAGGTCATGATCTCACGGTTCGTGAGATTGAGCGCCATGTCGGGCTCTGTATTGACAGTGCAGAACTTGCTTGGGATCCTCTCTCTCCCCCTCTGTCTGCCCCTCCCTCCCTCTCTGTCTCAAAAATAAATAAATAAACGTCAAAAAAAGAATAAAAGTCTGGAAGACATCCACCAGATTCACAATAGAAACTTTTTCTAGGGAATGAAGTAGGGGTACTAGGATTGGTTTAATGCTCCAGTTTTTATTTAAAAAAATTTTTAAAGCTCATTTATTTATTTTGAGAGAAAGCGTGTGTGTGTGTGTGTGTGTGTGTGTGTGAGCAGGGGAAGGGCAGAGAGAGAGAGAGAGAGAATCCCAAGCAGGCTCTGCACTGTCAGCACAGAGCCCTACGTGGGGCTTGGACTCACAAACCGTGAGATCATGACCTGAGCCTAAACCAAGAGTCAGATGCTTAGCCAACTGAGCCCCCCAGGCGCCCCGAGTGCTCTAGTTTTTAAAAGCACATCTTTTTATGGGAGTTTAAAGCACATTAGGATTTAGGGGAAAAGTTCTGGGATTGACTTGCAATGTCTGCTGTGAACACTGGACAGGCTGGGAGTCCAGCAGATAGAGAGGGACACAGAGGATCCCAAGCAGGCTCTGAGCTGACAGCACAGAGCCCAACTCGGGGTCTGAACCCACGAATTGTGAGATCATGACCTGAGCTAAAGCCAGACACCAGCAGACTGAGCCACCCAGGTGCCCCTCCCTTAGGTTTTTCTCGACCCCAAGCTCTACCCTAGTTCAGGTCTCTTCCACTCTCTTTTGCACTGGTCTCCCTACCCACTGTGCCTCTCCCACTGTAAGCCCGCAAAGGCACCCAATTGCCGAGGTGAAATGAGTCAGTCAGAGAAAGACAAATACCATAAGATTTCGCTCATATATGGAATTTAAGAAACAAAACAAAGCAAAAAAGGAGACAAACGAAAAACCAGACTCTGTATAAATACAGAGAACAAATTGCTGGTTACAGAGGGGAGGTGGGTGGGGGGATGGGTGAAAGAGTTGATGGGGATTAAGGGTACAGTTACTGTGATGAACACTGATGAATGTATAGAATTGTTGAATCACTATTTGTATCTCTGAAGCTAATATAACACTGTATGTTAATTACAATGGAACTAAAAAAATAAAAATAAAAAAGGCAAATAATTGCCTCCAGTATCAAGTGCAAACTACCTAGCATGACCTGCACTGCCTTTCAAAATGAAACCATACAGTGCATGTTTAGTACAGGCTTGGAGGTCAGCTGCTGTTGCTCCCTGGTCTGGCCTTGACTTAGCTCTCTAGCACTGTCCTCAGAGCCCCCACTGCCTGCCCGGGACTGTGTCACCCTGCTCTAGCTCCCAGAAAGTGCCTGCTTTTGCTCACCTCGCTGTCTGTCCACACCACCCTTTGCCCATAATGCCCACTCCCTTGCCCTTTGGCTGACTGCAACTTAGAGCAGAACCCTACCTCCTCCCCAGGCCAAGGCTACAGTAGGTGCCCCATGGCCTCCCATGGCGGGGGGGTTGTTAGAGAATCACCTATCAGGCTCATTCTCTTCTAACTCACTGCACTTTGCTCTGTCTCTGCCTTTAGACTCTGAGCTTCAACTTTTCCCTCTCTGTAACCACTGAAAGACCCTCACCCCATTTGGCTCTAAAAGACAGCCTCTCCAATGCCCCAGGCTCCCATATGCACTTGCTTAATATTTATACCTTCTAAGGTTCTCTTATGGCAAATAGAATAACAAAACTTGGTCCTCTCTTAAAGATTCTACAAATGATTTTGTCCCCCTTTCCCAGTCTGCTCTGCCATCTTTTGATGTTTTTATTTTTTCTTTGAGAGAGAGACAGTGTGAGCAGGGGAGGGTCAGAGAGAGAGGGAGACACAGAATCTGAAGCAGGCTCCAGGCTCTGAGCTAGCTGTCAGCACTGAGCTGATGTGGGGCTCGAACCCACGAACTGTGAGATCATGACCTGAGCCGAAGTCGGACGCTTAACCGACTGAGCCACCCAGGCGCGCCCCCTCTGTCATCTTTTGGCCCCTCCCTGTCCAGCCCCCTCATCACACTCTGGCCACCTCCTCCCCATGTCAATCCAGGCCCATCCAGAAAGGCTCCAAGGCTCCACATTTCTTGTGTGGCTCCCCTCACCCACCTCTCTCACCCCCCTTCACATCTGGAAGCTGCTGTTTCTGTCTCACCTATTACCTTCCACCAATGGCTCTTGCCCATTCTCTCTACCTACCTTAAGCTCCTTTCCTGGGAAGCATTCTTTTCCTGCCCAAGCATCTGTTGGGAGTGCACCGTCTGGTGAGGTGTTGTGGGCATGCCTGGCTCCTCTCAAGGCAAGGAACTCCCCAGGGCAGAGACCAGGTCCTGCTGAACTTGAACCCTCCAAACCCAGCACAGGCACTGAGTTCTTGCTGACCGACTCGGCCATTTTCTGGGGGAACTTTCAGCACCACAGCCATGGACAGCCCATTAAATGCTTCCTTCTCATCCTGGCTCAACCCCAGAGACTTTAGAGATGATCTGTGTCTGCCCTCCCAGGCTCCCCGACCCAAGTTGAGCAAGCATGAGGCTCACATGGACACCTCCCTGCCCCTTTTCTCCCAACCCTGACTCCTCCTTCTTGCCTTCCCCAGAATGTCTCTCAGCTTCCCAGGGCAATATAGCCTAATGAGCCCGGATTCTGGCACTTACTATCTCTGTGATCTTGGATAAGCTACTCAGACTCTATGTGTCTCAGTTTCCTCATATGTAAAATGGATGTACAACTATGGAATAATACCTGGTGCACAGAAGATACTTAGTAAAGATTACTTGAACGAAGAAACGAAGGACTTAAAGTATAATACCTACCTCGTTGGGGTTTTGTCAAAATTAAATGATTTAATGTGTGTAAATGCATGTGGAGCCATGTCTGGCACACAGAAAACTCTCGGTGTTGGTTATCTGTGCCTTTCCTTTCAGTTCTGTTGAGGTCCTGGAGAGGCTGGAAGGGTCAGGATTACTGGTGAATTTCAGGGGTGGTTTCTGCTCGGACTGCAGGCCTCGAGGGGACACTCCAGTACAAGGTTCCAGGTCCTCTCCAGGGTCCTCTTCCTTGCCCTCCCCACCCCCAAATCCAACCCTCAGGCCGCTAGAGGGAGCCCCAAAAGTGGCGAATTTGTCTGCGGCGGGGAAGGTAGCAGGGTGGGATATGTGGGGGCCGTGGGAAAGAGGCTAGGGCACCCAGGACTGACGAGGAGGAATCCGCCCCTCTCTGGCACGTCTTTGGCGCGACGCCAGTCCAAAGGAGGGCCTGGACACCAAACTGGTTTGTGGGTTGCGACTAGAGACAGGTGATGAAAGCCACGGAGCCGTGGAGGCACAGGCGCCTGGCCCGGAGCCGCAGGACCAGCTCCGGAGGAGGCTGCTGAGCGCGGGCTGGGACCTTGGGGATTTCTTCCCGAGCCACTCGAGGGACTGTGGGGCCTGAGGTAGCCGCTACACATATGCCACAGACTGGGCGTCCAGGCAGCCCCAACCCCACAGCCCTTTACCCAGCCATCCTGGGTTTTGCTTCTTCCTGGCCTCGGCACCCACTTTTGGCTGCGGCCTCCCAGACCCGCTGTGGTGGGGCGTGCCCTGCTGACTTTTGTGGGCCCCCTATTCGCGGAAAAGAGGTGGGCGCGGAGCCTGGGTTGGGATGCAGGATAGAGAAACGTTGGTTCTCAGGTGGCCAGGGGTTGGCCTCACCCTGGTCATCTGGCCCTCCCTCCTCTACCCCTACAGCCCCTAGTCCTTGAACCCGAAGTAGATGTAAACGTCAAGGACAGGCCCGCCCGCTGGGGAAGTCCTGCCGGCAGTGGAGGGGTGCTCCAGGGCCGCCGGGAGCCTTCCTTACCTGAGGCCTGGGCTGGCATCGCCGCCAGCTGACCGACTGCCAGCGCAGCGCGGATTTTCAGTCCAGGTGAGGCCCCTGAGCCCGCAACGACGTCCCCGACACCCTCCCCTCACGGGACTGCGCAGCCGCTGTCCAGGCTCCGTGGCCCATCGATTTTTCTGTTGACTTTGGGGATCTCATTAATCCTTCGTTAATTACCCAGCCAGGGGCTCCCAGACCGTGCAGCCAATAGGGAGGCAGCCAGGCGGGCGGGTGGGGCCGGAGGCAGTGCAGGCTTGTGGCCTCAGGGTCAGAGGACCCGCGGCCGCCTGCCTCCGGGCCGGCTGGAGTCCACCGTCCTTAGGCCTCGTGCGGCAAAGGCCCTGCTGGGCTCAGGCCACACTTTCCTCTGGCGGCCAAGCAGGGAACAAACTGGGCCCCCTCCCAGATCTGGTGTCGCCTTTTCCTGTACCCCACCCAGCACATGGGAGGGGTGCGGTCTTGCAGCAACATTGCCACTTCACTGTCTCCCTAAGTCGACCGTGAACTTGCAGCGGAAGAGATCTCATTCCAACCGGGCAGCAGGCGGGTGGGGTGAGAAGTCGCCCCCTCTGACCCTCCTCACTCCTCAGCCTCTGTGACCTGCCCGCCTCGTTCTGCAGGTGAGGTCGGGGCGCGTCTTCCTCTTAAGATCCTAGCGCCCTAGTGCTGCTCCCACGCTCCCCACGGCCAGCCCCCACCGCAGTCTCCCTTCTAGCCTGTCCCCCTTCACCTCGCTGTGGCTGGACACCGATTTTTCCCTCTCTCCTAGCTGGCAGGGCCTCCTCTTCAATCTCTGTCTGCCTGACCTTCTCTGTTCTCTCCCTGCGAAGTCCACCTATGCCTTTCCTAGATTAGAAGCCCTAGGGCTTCACCTCAGGATCCTCCAGGGAATGGGGGAGGGGTGGGTAAGAAGAGGCCCTTCTGTAAGGTTCTGTGTCCCCCCCCCCCACGCCATTTAAACTAGAACAGCCCTGTTTATGTTATAAACTTGGGTTCCTGAAATATTTTATTTGAGGAAAAAGAAGTTCTGCTGTTTGAAAATCATTACGCTTAGTAGAAAGGCCCTGTGACCTTGGGCAAGTCACTTTGCCTCTCTGCGCCTCAGTTACTTTTTTCTTAAAATGGTAGTTGACTAGGTCAGTCTCTCCTAACCTTTCATGCCTCACAGAACACATAAACAAATGTATTTGTCATTTGAGGATAAGGGGAAGGGGAAGATGGCAGCCTGGGTACCCTGCCCAGCCCCTCTCAGGCACCCAGGTACTGGTCAGTAACCTGTCTGTAACTCAGACTTGGCTCATCCATTGAAAAGCTTGAGACATGAGAATCCCCAGGCTCCCTTCCAGCTCTGAGCCCACAAGAGCCTCTCTGGCAATGAGCTCAGACAGGGCGGCTGAGAAAAGAAGCGGGGGACAGAGGGGTCCAGCTCCAGGCAGCAGTCCTTGCCAGGCCACAAGGCTGGGATTAGGGGTAGTGCCAGAGCCACGGACACTTGCAGATCTTGCCTGGTCCTAGATACTGTAGGCAGAGGTCTCCCTTCCCTGGTCACTCCAGGCCCCAGGGTCATTCTGGGGTGGGTGTCCTGACTGTGATTGAAAAACACATCCTGGAAAAATAACTTTTGTGAAAATTTTACCCTGGGGCCCGTGGGGGATGGGTGGTAATGTGGCCCAGGGACTGCCAGCCTGGGGTTCTCTCCTGGTGAAGTCTTTGAATAGACACTCGAGCCAAGCCCCACCCCTGCATGTCTCTGTTGGGGGCTTCAGGACAACACGTAGACCTCCAGCAGGCTGGAGACAGCGTGCATACGGTAGAAGATGCCGAAAGGCAGGCAGATGTTGACGATGGCTGCCCAGAGTGAGTACCCATAGAAGTCCACCTCCACAGTGTTGCTGAAGTGAGGGCGGGCTCCGAAGGCAGGCATGATCCACAGCTGTGCGGAGAGAGGGACGCGTCAGGACCTGGCCTGGACTGGCCTTTCGGGTCATTTCTGTGGGCTTGGCTGGGGCAGGGGTGTGGCAAGATGCGTGTCCCAGTTCTCCAGTTTGTTGGACGGCAAGGGCTGGGTGTTGGCGAATGGGGACCTTCCGTGTCTTGGGTAGGACCTGGCACTCACTAAGCAGCTCAGGAAATGCGCCCAACTGAACTTGCCCACCCCCAGGCTGGGGCTCCCCCTGAGATCACATCTACCCTATTATTAGGGCTTATTTATTTGTGAGATGCGGATGAGGGGAAAGGAGACGATGTGAGAATTTGGTACAAATGGCTAAATCAGCAGCTCGGCCCCGGAGAGATGTATGCCCGGTGAAGGTAGAACCAGACAGGCCCAGGGCGGCGAGGGGGTGTCAGGATCCACCCAGAAATGTACCCCACACCCACCCTACATGATCTCTGTTCTCCAGCTCCACCCCTTTCCCAGGTCTGGGAGGGTGTGAAAGCTGGGATCCTGCTTCCTCTCTGGCTGGAGCTCAGACGGTTGGGGTGTGGGGTATGAGGCAAAGAATGACGGCTTCTAGGCCACCCCTACCCTCCCCATCCCCAGTTCACTGTGCCCTTGGGCACACACAGCTCCTTTCTGAGCCTGTTGCTGTCATATGAAATGAAGGGGTTGGAGATGATGCTCCTAGAGCTAACCCAGGAGCAGATATCTGGAGCAAATACAGCCGCCCAGAAGGTGGTTCCCAGCGTGCAGGTGGGGCCTCGGGCGGAAGGTGAGGGCGGGGCCAGGCTGGGGGCAGGCTCTCAGGTTGGCCCAAGATATAAGGAGGTTTTGAGCCTTATTGCTTTTACTGGAGGGTCAAAGATTAGTGATCACTCTTTTTTGTTTAATCTTTTCTTTCTTATTTTTTTCCTTTAACAGATTACCTGCTGGTTGGGAAGTATTCACAATGGGCGCACACTAAGAACGCACCCAAGTCAGGCCTGTTGATGTATTTTCCATAGCGTGCACGGGCGTGGAATCACTCTGGAGATGCGCTCTACATTGGGATAGGCCCACATTAAGGGTGTTTGTATATTAGGGATATTTTTCTGTTGGAGGTTGCAGCTGAAAGGGCCATTTTTATATTGAATGAAACTTCAGAAGACATGTGTTCTTTATGTGGGACGTGCTCACGGGCGTACATGTTTACATGTTAGAGATTTCCCTCCTGGGGATTAGATCAACACTGGAGTATTTCTCTATTAGGTTATAGCCACACGAGGGGTATTTCCTTATTGGGGTGTGCCTTCGTGGAGGGTGTTTCTGCCCTGGAGTGAAGTCTGTTGCTAACACAGGAGTTTCTCTTAGTAAGGGGTTTTGCTGAATTAACAGGGAGGGGGCGCTGTTGTGAACGCCCCTCTTCCAGGCCAGCCCGCAGCTGCACTCTGCTGAGGCTGCTCACACTTATGCCGTTCTCTGCTACTTCCTGATGCTGCTCCAATTATTCTGAGAAGCAGGCTGGTCACAAGTTCCCAGGAGAAGTCACACCTTCCACCTAGGGGTGAGGGCACCCCCACTCCACATCACTTCACAGCTCCCTCCCACTTCCACCCAGCCCCCATGCCAGCATTTCCTGGGACCCCTCCAGTGCCATCTGCAGCCTAGACACCAGAAGGCTGGGATTTCATTTTCTCTTTCTGCCCTGAGATGCTGTTTGCCCTGGGGCTGCATCTGACCCTCTCTGAACCTACTTTTCTAGGGAGAGCTATAGTTTTTTTTGAGTGGGCTGGGGGCAAGATAGAGAAGGCCAAGCGAATAAAGCTGAAAGAACATCCTTCCTTGGCCTTCTCTTTCCCCTAGCCCATCCCCATCTCTCCCCACAGCGAGACCCCCCCAGTTACTCACAATGACATTGCAAAGCAGGAGAAACAGAGAGATGTCCTTCAGGCACCGGCGTCTCCAGTTTCCCCTGGGGGCCAAGATGATGGCCACTGCTTCCTGAGGGCCCTCCGGGCTGGGACCAACCAGCCTGGGGGTGGGTGGGCAGGCAGGCAAGGTGTGGAGGGCATCCAGGTTGGCAATGGTAAGGCCATGGCGGGGCTCCTTGGGGGTGGTATCATGAAGCTCAACCCCGGGTGGTCCCCGGTGGAGGCTCTCGATGATGAACACATTCTGGAAGGTGTGCTGGGCAATCATGAGCAGAGCATGGGCTAGGTTGAGCCCTCCCAGTAGGTCCCTGGGTGCGCCCACCACCACGGCCACAATAGAGTAGTAGGAAATAGCATATTGACCCAGGGCGGCCCCCATCAGCAGTGCCACATCCAGGGTTCGAGTGGGGTTCTTATGGTGATCCATGGCCCGGCGATCAAAACGGTAGATGACTGAGCCACTCAGGCTGACCAAGGTCATGAGGCCCAGACAGATGATGCTGAAGCTGTAGTAGATGACCAGGGCCTGCTGGGTGCGACCCCCCTCCCCACTTACTTGGACCTCGTAGATGATGAAGACGGCCAGCCCCACCACGAAGAGCATCAGACCCAGCATCGGGCCAGCAAAAAAGGTCTCCCGGAAGAGGCTGATCCGGGATGGCATGTGGCCGTGGCTATGGGTGGAGGAGGCCAGCAGCCTGCCCACATTCTTCCACATGACATACAGCATGGTAGAAGCAAAGAGGCTGTACTCAATGTTAAAGGGATACAGGTAGAAGTAGCCCTGCTGGAAGATCTGGCAGATGGCCGTGTTGCACAGACAGTCTCCTCCCATCGAGCTGCCTGCACGCTCTGCTGTGGAGAGAGGGGCACAGAGCTGGCTGCCCTCCCGCCTCCCTGGGGGCACCCCACCTGAAGAGCCTCACCTTTAGACTGTGACTTTTGTTAGAGTCGAATCACAGTCTGACATATTCACCACCTTATCCCAAACACCGGCACTGGGCCTGGCACGTTCGTTCACTGTGCAAATACTTATTGAGCACCTACTATGTGCCAGAGACTGGGACATGTCAGTAAAGAATAATAGCTAGTGCTCAATCAACACACCTCCGAACCGCGGAACTGCCCACTTCATCCCATTCTGTTCCT